CTTTTTTTATAAATAAAAAAAATAAAAAAAAACCAAGAAAAGACCAAGAATTTACATCAACACACTACTTTGAGTTACAGCGAAATCATCCTTGGGAGATAAAGAAAAGAGTGGAAGTCAAAGCAAATATACGGACATCAACTTCCGTGTGGTCAAGGAAAATGTGAGACCTAGTTAATCTATTGAACACACCAATACCAATGATTTTCAATCAATCACTAATGTATTGCTAGCAAATCAGTATAGGGATCATGTTGAGAGTATTGATGTTCTTAAGCCTGCGTAGTGTGTTCCTTTTTTCCTTTTAGGTTAACCATTTGGGCACGTCCTTTATAAATATGAAAATACATGTATGTATAATATTGTTTTTCATATTTTTAGTATCTGCGGGGATGCATAAAGTAAAATCCATAAGCATCAACATTCAAAGTGTGATGTTGCCGGAAGCTATGAAAGTTAGAGAATGATTTTCTCAATGTTATGAGGTAAAAATGGAAGGAGTACCAACCCATAGTGGGTAGAACTGTCATGATTCTTACATAACATCGCTTTTGTGTAAATTCATAAGGATCTTTGGTTCATTATCACCAATATCAGTAAACATGTACTCAGACTGGGAGAACACAGGATTCTCCCTAAAGGTTTAACAAAATATGGTCCATATATTTCAAAATTGATTATTTATCTATATGATTAATTCTTACAAGTATTTCATAGTATTAGGAAGTTCTATGACTGAGTAGCTTAATTATTATACACCACTACTGGAAAAGATTAGGAGTCAATTAACAGGAACAGTATCACATTTCATGAAAGCCTGAAGAAGTAATTGACATCTTCAAGAAACGGGTTGACTAGCAGTAATAGCAATATGCTTGCTATTAATTCCAGATGCTAAACCACTATTTTTCGATCCTCATCACTTTGAACGTATGTTCACACTCAATATAGGCACATTTCGGCCAACCTCTCGGCCATCAACAATTGGCAAAGGTTGAGGGACTTGTGGCTAAGGTCACAATTTCGAACTCTGCGCCATGAGAACTAAGTCTCCTATTTAAGGATAGAAGAGCGGGCCCATTATCCCCGAGTTCTGAAGGCTGTGTGGTTGGTCCTAACTCCTAAGGGTTGACTCCAGACAGATTTCTCAGTAATAAAAAGAAAAGCTAACATCTAAGTAATTACCACAAAAATGGTAAAATCAATTTCTTTTCTTTTTCGCTAACGAGCAAAATAAAAATTTTATGAGTTCAATACCTCTTCCAGCTGAGATGGAAAGATAAAAATTGAACTTTTTTTTCAAGGACTTCACATAATGTCTCTTCCACTATAAGTAATATTTTAGGATTCCATGAAATTAACAGGTTTTCATTCTAATTAACATCACACTTAGAGACACCCAACATCCAAAAGGGCATATTAGAATTTTAGAAATACTGTTATGAAGATCAAATTGCAAACTTACTTGGCCAAGTCCTCACTGAAGACGGAACTTTGCTCCTCTATGGTGAACTTTACGACTTTCCCTCTGCCCTATGGCTTTCTGTGTTTTGGAAACTCGTATTTACTATTTGGGCCAATATCACCCGATTCGGCCCACCAAAAGAACCTTGAACCTCTCTTTTTTTCCTTTTTCAACAACACTTTTGAACCAAACTCATAGATTTATTTACATTTTTATTGTTATTTATTTTTATTTACATTCAAGCTAGTTTGTGTGCACCTCGACTAATTTCACGAAAAACATACTACCTCCTACCATCATAAGTATGGGAAACTATATCCACCAATACTTAAACAGATGAAAAAAATCACCCAGGGTCAGTTTGGAAAGCCATGTGTAATTAGTTGATTGTGTTATTATTAGACTAGTAATTTTACACCCTGATAATTATACAGTATAGCAATTATAATGACATATTTATTTGCAACAACGTAATTACATTAAAATTACCATTTTCATAATTGATTGAACAAGTGTAATTACATAGTTAAATAAACTTTTTCATATTAACATTTTAGATAAGTTTTAATGTGCGATAAACATATATATA